GAGACGCATGATGTACGGCTTCTGTGGCACGATGTGTGGCATATGTGGCATTATTTGTGGCATCTGTGGCATGATGTGTGTCTTCTGTGGCACGATGTGTGGCATTAATGAGTCCCCGTTGTCAGATGAAGAGCTGTGGCCGCCACGTCACCCCATCGAGGCTGTGGAGATCTCTGATGGCTGGGCACCCCCGGCCTCATCAAGGCAGGAGTCACCCCGTGAACAGTCGGGTACCAAGAGGCCTCTGGTACTCCTGAGTAGCTACGCTACTGACCATGAAGCTTTTACGGGGCCTCGAAGAAACCCATGGTCCAGTAAACTCCAAGGGCCCACTAGTCTCCCACGGCCCAGTAACCTCCAAGGGCCCACTAGTCCCCCACGGCCCAGTAACCTCCAAGGGACCACAAGCCTCCCTGGGCCCAGTAGGCAGAATGACAACTCGGTACTAAACGACACAAAAAGGCTGATCGAAGCGGCAGGGCCCGACGACGCTTTAGGACCCAACGTCGCTTCAGGGACCAACAGCCCCTCAGGGGCCATTGATGAAGATGGGCCCACAAACTCTTCGATTTGGTGGCCATGCGGCGTGCACCCGAACGAGTCGGCCAGCATCGAAGCGACCAATTTCTCGATGGCTTGCGCCGCTGAGGTAGGCGCGAGGGACCTGGCTCGCCGTCTCGTGGAGGACCTGGCCCCCAGTCCCGTGGAGGACATAGCGGGGCGCGTTGGGGACCTGATCCTTGAGCTGACGACGATCAGGAGGCGGTCGTACATGGAGATGCTGAGGGCAACTCTGTGCGTGACGCCGACGCGGCTGCTGCACCAGATGCTCGACAAACTCACGGTGCGTTTGTTTGTGTTAAAGAGACAATGATCTTTGGCATGTTAAAGTCTGAATTCAATTATTAAGAGCAGTTTATTCGTGTGAGAGTGGGTTTTTGAACAACGCACTCAACCAGCAGAGCGTTCTGTTGATGTTGATACCATTTTTCTTCATATCTTTCAGTGTTGATACCATGTTTCTTCATTATTGTTTCAATTATGCCGCGGACCGAGAAAAATTGTTACCTTGTCTCTGACATTTTGCAGGATTTCCGGAACAAGTATGCATGTGAGCGCTGCAGAGACTTGCGTCCACCTCCACGCCCTGCGCTGCCCCCAGACGTACAATTCCGGTCGTTTGATCTCGTCCCGGCATCAGCTCCTTCATCTCTTGGAGACTTGAGTCCTGCCAAGCTTTCCCACGAAGACTTAGGGTCTACCGAGCTGTCTGATGGAAACTTACGTCCTCTAAAGTCGTTTGATGCGGATTTGGGTCCCACGCTAGCGCCAAAAGACGCCTCAAAGCCGAGCCTTCTGTTGGCCATCGCGCCCCTGGGACGCTTAGGCAACCAGATGGGGGAGTACGCGACCCTGTTGGCTCTGCACAAGCTGTACAACGTCACGGTGCGTCTCACCGAGGACATGGCTGGCAACCTGACGCAGACCTTCCCTCACCTCTCGCTGCCTACACTCACTGAGGGTACGTTGAGATAGTTGAGATAGTGGCCACTCAGGAGGGACTTCTGACGCATGTCTTTGCTCGTCAGAAGTCCTGTGAGATTTCGCGTTGAAAATTGTTCCTGAGGGCTACACCTCTGAGCTCGCGGTGCCTGACTGCGGGCTTTAGTTGTGGGGTTAAGTTATTATGTACGGTAGGTAGGATTCCTCATATCAAGTTATTATGTAGGCAGGATTCCTTACATTAAGTTATTATGTAGGTAAGAGTCCTTACATTTCCCTTCTCTGTCTCTCTCGTGCGGGCGGCCGACGTCCCGTGTAAGCGACCTATTGTTCGAGTGTCTTCGTTTCTGTTGCTTTTCAACTGTCCCTCCTTGTCACCTGTCCCTCCTTGTCATTTCGTCTCTTTGAGAGGCCAACGTTGCTTTTTTCAAGCCAGGTTCAGCGGGCTGGACACTTGAGACCTTCCTTCCTATAAGGGTGTTTGCGAAAAATAGCTTGGTGGCTGGAGCGCTAGCTAACCATCCTACTACCGTACTAGTACCTACGTCACATTAAATTAGTCCCTACAGACAAATTACGTTGAAACGACATTGATTACGAAATTATTTTTTTTTAAAACCTCGTTTAATTAACCTTATTACAAACTCCAATTTCTGGTGGTTGTCCTAAATTCAAAATTTTTCATGAGTTCTGAGCCGGGAAAAATGTGATGTAGGTAATTTAATACGTAATGATGATAATATGATAATGATATCAAAATATAACATGTCAAGGTCTCTTGGCAGACGAGACGCCTGCCAACTGGACGCTGCTGGCCAAGGACGGCGGCTGTGCCGTGAGGCGTTACCGTGGCCTCGAACTGGCCGCCGCGGGCCTCTTTGGGCCCCAGCAGTTCCTCATCTCAGGTGGGGTTCAGGGCCCCAGCAGTTCCTCATCTCAGGTGGGGTTCAGGGCCTCAGCAGTTCCTCATCTCAGGTGGGGTTCAGGGCCTCAGCAGTTCCTCATCTCAGGTGGGGTTCAGGGCCCCAGCAGTTCAGGGCCTCAGCAGTTCCTCATCTCAGGAGGGGTTCAGGGCCCCAGCAGATTCTCATCTCAGGTGGGTTCAGGGCCCCAGCAGTTCCTCATCTCAGTGGTTCTAGCACATGGACGAACCGTAAGAGGTTCTAGCACATGGACGAACCGTAAGTGGTTCTAGCACATTGACGGACCGTAAGTGGTTCTAGCACATTGACGGACCGTAAGTGGTTCTAGCACATTGACGAACCGTAAGTGGTTCTAGCACATTGACGGACCGTAAGAGGTTCTAGCACATTGACGAACCGTAAGTGGTTCTAGCACATTGACGGACCGTAAGTGGTTCAAGCACATTGACGAACCGTAAGTGGTTCAAGCACATTGACGGACCGTAAGTGGTTCAAGCACATTGACGAACCGTAAGTGGTTCTAGCACATTGACGGACCGTAAGTGGTTCAAGCACATTGACGAACCGTAAGTGGTTCAAGCACTGCGACCAACATAGAATTGTTTGTTATAACTAGGTAATGGTAAACCCATAGCAGTAATTGACAACTCTAGTCTTACAAATGATATGTAATGTAATCCTCTAATGATATGCAATCCTGTAAGTACAACTCCAGATAACATGGACATGTTCTACTATTGTCGATTACTTTAAACAACAGTAAAAAGTTCTTCACGTTAAACATTGCTAAAGATGACAATTTTTTTTATCTAAACCTGTCTCACAAGCCTCTTACTTTTTTATGGTAAAACTTAAGAGGGCCTATCCGTGTTTTACTAATGCTTTTCACCCTCAACAACATTGAAGAGTTGTTTACATTGAACAAAATTGACGAGTTGTTTATATTTAACAACATTGAAGAGTTGTTTACATTGAACAACATTGAAGTGTTGTTTACATTTTACAACATTGAAGAATTGTTTACATTGTACAACATTGAAGTGTAGTTTACATTGAACCACATTGAAGAGTTGGTTACACTGAACAACACTGTAGAGCTGTTTACATTGAACAACGTTGAAGAGTTGTTTACATTTAAAAACATTGAATAGTTATTTACATTACATTTGAACAACATTGTAGTGTTGTTTTACATTGAGCCACATTGAATTGAAGAGCTGATTGCATTGAACCACACTGAAGAGTTGTTTACAATGAACCACATTGAATTCAAGATTTGTTTACATTGATCCCTATTGAAGAGTTGTTTACATTGAACATTTTCAACGAAGATCAATTCTAATTATCTTAACCTGTCGTTGTGTCGCAGCTTATCCATTCGAGATGCAGCTCTTCAATGCGTACCGCGCGCTCCTCTTACAAGACTTCAAGTTCCATCCTAAGATAATGAGACAGGTGGGGACTAAGATAATGAGACAGGTGGGGACTAAGATAATGAGACAGGTGGGGACTAAGATAATGAGACAGGTGGGGACTAAGATAATGAGACAGGTGGGGACTAAGATAATGAGACAGGTGNCGTCTTGGTGACGAATGGTGCGTCTTGGTGACGAATGGTGCGTCTTGGTGACGAATGGTGCGTCTTGGTGACGAATGGTGCGTCTTGGTGACGAATGGTGCGTCTTGGTGACGAATGGTGCGTCTTGGTGACGAATGGTGCGTCTTGGTGACGAATGGTGCGTCTTGGTGACGAATGGTGCGTCTTGGTGACGAATGGTGCGTCTTGGTGACGAATGGTGCGTCTTGGTGACGAATGGTGCGTCTTGGTGACGAATGGTGCGTCTTGGTGACGAATGGTGCGTCTTGGTGACGAATGGTGCGTCTTGGTGACGAATGGTGCGTCTTGGTGACGAATGGTGCGTCTTGGTGACGAATGGTGCGTCTTGGTGACGAATGGTGCGTCTTGGTGACGAATGGTGCGTCTTGGTGACGAATGGTGCGTCTTGGTGACGAATGGTGCGTCTTGGTGACGAATGGTGCGTCTTGGTGACGAATGGTGCGTCTTGGTGACGAATGGTGCGTCTTGGTGACGAATGGTGCGTCTTGGTGACGAATGGTGCGTCTTGGTGACGAATGGTGCGTCTTGGTGACGAATGGTGCGTCTTGGTGACGAATGGTGCGTCTTGGTGACGAATGGTGCGTCTTGGTGACGAATGGTGCGTCTTGGTGACGAATGGTGCGTCTTGGTGACGAATGGTGCGTCTTGGTGACGAATGGTGCGTCTTGGTGACGAATGGTGCGTCTTGGTGACGAATGGTCATCCGTTTTTCCTCATATTTCAGCTAATAATAAGAATGTAAAGCCAAATAATAATTATAATTATAGTTGAACCATTGCAGTTCCATTGAACAGCACTAAATATGAATGAATTTCGCTGTACAACGTCTTTTATAGTAGCCTTCAAATTCAGCTAATTATATGTATATCTAATTATTAAAAGCATACCTAAATATATAAATTAAGAGAATTAATTTAAAAATTATTAAATTAATTAATTAAAATCAACCAAATTAAATTTAAATTGAGTTAATTCCCTCTCGACACTCTCAGGCACCGCGGCGGAGGACATGTGCCTGCTGGCGCTGTGCCACCACCGCATCATGACCTTCGGTACCTTCGGGTTCTGGGCGGGGTACTTGGGGCGGGGCACGACCCTGTACCCTGACCTCGAGTACCCTGATGCCCCCTACATGCTCACCCGGGCACGCTACACCGATGCCCGCGTCACCAGCTTCATACCTGTGCCTTTCTACCCGCACCGATGACATATATTGTTGTTGTTACGGGGTGATTTGTGTTATGGGTGATTTGTTGTATGGGGTGATTTGTTGTATGGGGTGATTTGTGTTATGGGGTGATTTGTGTTACGGGGGTGATTTGTGTTATGGGTGATTTGTTGTATGGGGTGATTTGTTGTATGGGGTGATTTGTGTTACGGGGGTGATTTGTGTTACGGGGTGATTTGTGTTATACGGGGTGATTTGTGTTATGGGGTGATTTGTGTTATGGGGTTATTTGTGTTACGGGGGTGATTTGTGTTACGGGGTGATTTGTGTTACGGGATGATTTGTGTTATACGGGGTGATTTGTGTTACGGGGTGATTTGTGTTATGGGGTGATTTGTGTTACGGGGTGATTTGTGTTANGATTGTGCTCTGATTGTGCCCTGATTGTGCCTTGATTGTGCCTTGATTGTGCCTTGATTGTGCCCTGCTTATGCCTTGATTTTGCCTTGATTTGGCCTTGATTGTTCCTTGATTGTGCCTTGATTGTGCCTTGATTGTGCCCTGCTTGTGCCTTGATTTTGCCTTGATTTGGCCTTGATTGTTCCTTGATTGTGCCTTGATTGTGCCTTGATTGTGCCCTGCTTGTGCCTTGATTGTGCCTTGATTGTACTTATATTGTGTCTCATTATGTGACGTACTTTTTCCGTTTAAATGTAGAGTGCATTTTCCTTCCGTTATTTGTGCCGGTAAACGCGCTGCAGTTGAGAAGAGTCTAGCCGTCCTGTAGCGACGTTGCGCTTTTAAATGCCGAGGAAATGAACATATTATATAGAAATGATCGTATAAATTTAAAGAAATAACCGTGTAAATATAAGGAAGTAATCATATACAGCTAAAGAGATAAGCGTGTTAAGATAAAGAAATAATTATATGAATCTGAAGCACTATACGTGTTAAATTAAGGAATTGTATATGTAAATATAGGTAAATAATGATGGACGTAGAAGTAAATGTGTGAATTGAAAATGGGAAATGAAATAAGCGAACGAATCTCAAGAAATTATCATTTAGAAGTGAAAGATTAACTGCATGTTTCTCACGTAACAAATTAGACATGAAGTAGATCTTCCTACGTTAATAGTGGTATTTTCAATTAATTTTAAGTCAATTCATTCTCCGTTTTATGTTTTACATATAAAAGACTTTTAAATGTAGATTAAAGCATTTTATATCGAGGTTTTGTGCATGTTGCTAGTCGATCATACATGTCCATATTATTTCTCGTCTCGTAAGACATCTTCCACATTTGCTGCTAGAAAATGATCGACGAATCGCCATTTACTGTCTTTGGCCAATATTTTCTGTCTTTGGTCAATACTTGCTGTCTTAATCCAATATTTACCTGCTGTCTTTGGTCAATACTTACTGCCTTTGTCCAATATTACTGTCTTTGGCCAATATTTACTGTCTTTGTCCAATATTTATTGGCTTTGGCCAATATTTACTGTCTTTGGCCAATATTTACTTTCTTTTACTAATATTTACTGTCTTTGACCAATATGTACATTCTTTGGCCAATATTATTGTCTTTGGCCAATATATACCGTCTTTGTTCAATATTACTATCTGTGGCCAATATTTACTGTCTTTGGCCAATATTACTGTCTTTGTCCAATATTTACTGTCTTTGGCCAATATTTACTGTCTTTGACCAATATTTACTGTCTTTGGCCAATATTTACTTTCTTTGACTAATATTTACTGTCTTTGACCAGTATTTACTGTCTTTGGCCAATATTTACTGTCTTTCATAAATATTTACTGTCTTTGGCCAATATTTACTGTCTTTGATCAATATTTACTGTCTTTGGCCAATATTTACTTTCTTTGACCAGTATTTACTGTCTTTGTCCAATATTTACTGTCTTTGTCCAATATTTACTGTCTTTGGCCAATATTTAAAGTCTTTGGCCAATATTTATTGTCTTTGGCCAATATTTATTGTCTTTGGCCAATATTTACTGTCTTTGGCCAATATTTATTGTCTTTGGCCAATATTTATTGTCTTTGACCAATATTTACTGTCTTTGGCCAATATTTATTGTCTTTGGCCAATATTTACTGTCTTTGGCCAATATTTAAAGTCTTTGGCCAATATTTATTGTCTTTGGCCAATATTTATTGTCTTTGGCCAATATTTATTGTCTTTGGGCAACATTTACTGTCTTTGGCCAATATTTATTGTCTTTGGCCAATATTCATGCTATAATATTCCTCGAATTAATTCATTATTCCGTCAATTATTTATTAATTGTTATGCTAGTTGCTTCATGTTAATATATTGATAATATCTCAACTGCGTTGCAAAGAGTTCATAATAAATATGCATTACGGTGAACTGGTAAGACTTAAGTTTTAAGATCGCGTTAGCTTCGGAAGCGAAGTACCCTATATGGATATGATCTCAAGCTCCAGGTTGTGTTGAATATGTTTTTCAACGACAATTGAGCTTAATACTATTTTTATCAACAATATAGTGAAACTTAACCCGCAACCAGGCACCTGACTGCGAAATAACGTTTATTGAACGTTTTTTAATGAAATTTACACGGAATCAAAATTTTTTCTACGTCATTTGCCTGGAAGGCCTTTAGTGCTTTAGAATATTATAGTTATTCTTCACTTGCTAACTGTAAGAAAACGCCAAGTTTAATTCCGTCCATATGCGAAAAAGTATAACAACAAATCATAATAATAACTGTAAATGTACATAAATAAGTCAGCCTTATGGAGAGTTTACACCACATGGTCTTTCATCTGTTTAGCTAATGATTACGATAATGAGAGAGGTAAGAAATAAGATAATGAAACATGCGGGGGGACAATATAATGAGACGTTTGGAGAACTGTTTGTACACTATCCACTTCATCAGGCTCACTATAAATTATCGTGCAGGCGCGGGCGCGACTACTGAACGCGACGCGTGCTGGAGGTGTGGGCAGGGTGGCCGTGGGCATGCATATTCGACTCTCCGACTACCCTGGCTTCATGAAGAGGGTACGTCGTACTGACGTGACCAACTTACGACCCTGCTGCCACTCTGCCACGACTCTCCTGCAACCCTGTCCCGACCCTCCGACGACCCTGCTGCGACTCTGCCACGACTCTGCCACTCTCGTACAACCCTCCTGCCACCATCTCACGACCCTCTAGCCACCATCCCACGACTCTCCTGCAACCCTGTCCCGACCCTCTCACGACCCTGCTGCGACTCTGCCACGACTCTGCCACTCTCGTACAACCCTCCTGCCACCATCTCACGACCCTCTAGCCACCATCCCACGACCCTCCTGCCCTCATCCTACGACTCTCCTGCAACCCTGTCCCGACCCTCTCACGACCCTGCTGCGACTGTATATCGTCCCGCGACTATTCTGCAACCCTGTCTTGACTCTCCCACAACCGTTGCGACTCTGATTCGACTCTGCCACTACTGTCCCACGACTCTTCTGCAACCCTGTCGCGACCCTCCCACAACCCTGCTACGACCCTGCCACGACCCCATCACGACCTTGCCACTCTTCCTATCTTCCTCCTCCTCATCTACTCAACCAATCACCGCACCCCAACACCTTCACGCCCTCCCTCTCATTCCCCCTACAGGAGTTCCAGGTAGAGGGTCTGCTTGCGTCCTACGGCTCCTACCTGCGCCGCGCGACGCGTCAAATCCTACGTCGTTTCCCCAACGCATCCTTCGTCGTCACATCCGACGAGCCTGAGAACGCAACTGCCATCCTGCAGGACTTGCGCTTGGACCACGTCGTGGTGACGAATGGTGCGTCTTGGTGACGAATGGTGCGTCGTGGTGACGAATGGTGCGTCTTGGTGACGAATGGTGCGTCGTGGTGACGAATGGTGCGTCTTGGTGACGAATGGTGCGTCGTGGTGACGAATGGTGCGTCTTGGTGACGAATGGTGCGTCGTGGTGACGAATGGTGCGTCTTGGTGACGAATGGTGCGTCGTGGTGACGAATGGTGCGTCTTGGTGACGAATGGTGCGTCGTGGTGACGAATGGTGCGTCTTGGTGACGAATGGTGCGTCGTGGTGACGAATGGTGCGTCTTGGTGACGAATGGTGCGTCGTGGTGACGAATGGTGCGTCTTGGTGACGAATGGTGCGTCGTGGTGACGAATGGTGCGTCTTGGTGACGAATGGTGCGTCGTGGTGACGAATGGTGCGTCTTGGTGACGAATGGTGCGTCGTGGTGACGAATGGTGCGTCTTGGTGACGAATGGTGCGTCGTGGTGACGAATGGTGCGTCTTGGTGACGAATGGTGCGTCGTGGTGACGAATGGTGCGTCTTGGTGACGAATGGTGCGTCTTGGTGACGAATGGTGCGTCGTGGTGACGAATGGTGCGTCTTGGTGACGAATGGTGCGTCGTGGTGACGAATGGTGCGTCGTGGTGACGAATGGTGCGTCGTGGTGATGAATGGTGCGTCTTGGGGACGAATGGTGCGTCTTGGTGACGAATGGTGCGTCTTGGTGACGAATGGTGCGTCTTGGTGACGAATGGTGGGTCGTGGTGACGAATGGTGCGTCGTGGTGAACGTATTAAGCGTCTAACCTCATGTTTAAGCAAATAATTAGGATGTACTCAAAAGTAATAATAATAATTATAGTTGAATCATTGCAATTCCATTGAACAGCACTAAATATGAATGAATTTTGCCCTACCAAGTCTTTTATATTGACCTTTCAATTCATCTAATTATTTGTAAATATACGTAATTATTAAAATCATAACCAAACAAGTTATTAAGTTATACAAGTATACAAGTTAAATTAAGTTATTTTAATAAAAAATTAAGTTAATTAATAAAAAAAGTATTAATTTAATTAATTAAAAAATTATTAAGTTAATTAAATAAAAAAGTACTAATTTAATTAAATAAAAAGTACTAATTTAATTAAATAAAAAATTAAGTTAATTAATTAAAAAATTATTAAAAGGTAATTAATAGAAATTAGTATTAAATTAAGGTAATTACCTCGCCACACTCGCAGGCACCGCAGCGGAGGACATGTGTCTGCTGGCGCTGTGCCACCACCGCATCATGACCTTCGGCACCTTCGGGTTCTGGGCGGGGTACTTGGGGCGGGGTACGACCCTGTACCCTGACCTCGAGTACCCTGATGCCCCCTACATGCTCACCCGGGCCCGCTACACCCATGCCCGCGTCACCAGCTTCATACCCGTGCCTTTCTACCCACAGCGATGACATATGTTGTTATATGGGGTGATTTGTGTTACGGGGTGATTTGTGTTATGGGGTGATTTGTGTTATATGGGGTGATTTGTGTTACAGGGTGATTTGTGTTATGGGGTGATTTGTGTTATGGGGTGATTTGTGTTATGGGGTGATTTGTGTTATGGGGTGATTTGTATTATTGGGTGATTTGTGTTATGGGGTGATTTGTGTTATGGGGTGATTTGTGTTATGGGGTGATTTGTGTTATACGGGGTGATTTGTTGTATGGGGTAATTTGTGTTGCGGGGTGATTTGTTTTATGGGGTGATTTGTGTTACAGGGTAATTTCTTTTACGGGGTGATTTGTTATACGGGGAGACTTGTTTTACGGAGTGATTTGTTTACGGCGTAACATGTGTAACGGGGTGACTTTTTTACGGGGTGACTTGTTCACGGGGTGATTTGTGTTATGGGGTGATTTGTTTTACGGGGTGATTTGTGTTACAGGGTGATTTGTTTTATGGGGTGATTTGTTTTATGGGGTGATTTGTGTTACGGGGTGATTTCTTTTACGGGGTGATTTGTGTTACGGGGTGATTTCTTTTACGGGGTGATTTGTTATACGGGGTGATTTGTTATACGGGGTGATTTGTTATACGGGGAGACTTGTTTTACCGAGTGATTTGTTTACGGGTAACATGTGTTACGGGGTGATTTGTGTTACGGGGTGATTTGTGTTACGGGGTGACTTGTTTACGGGGTGATTTGTGTTACGGGGTGACTTTTTTACGGGGTGACTTCACTGACTTGTTTTACGGGCTGATTTGTTTTACGGTGTGATTTGTGTTACGGGGTGACTTGTTATACGGGGTGACTTGTTTACGGGGTGATTTGTGTTACGTGGTAACATGTGTTACGGGGTGACTTGTTTTACGGTGTGATTTGTGTTGCGGGGTGATTTGTGTTACGGGGTGACTTGTTATACGGGGTGACTTGTTTACGGGGTGACTTGTTTACGGGGTGATTTGTTTTACGGGGTGATTTGTGTTACGGGGTGATTTGTGTTGCGGGGTGATTTGTTGCATGGGGTAACATGTTATACCTGTCTCTTATACACATCTAGATGTGTATAAGAGACAGGTCTGATAGAAGATGGTTAACAGCCAAGTGATCTATAATCCTATCCCTCATAACCGATTCCATCACCTTACACACAACACTTGTTGTGTTACTCCTGTCACCTTTTTCCAGTTACTCCTGTCACCTTTTTTGAACAGGGGTGTCACTTGGGCTTCTTTCCAGTCGGCCGGCAAGGTTCTTTCGATTAAGGTTTTTCGAAAGAATACTGTTAGAGGGCCGGCCAGGAGGGTTGCTAATTCGTTGAGCAATCTAGGGTGGAAACCGTCTAATCCAGATGACTTGTTTATGTGACTATGTTATGTGTGACTTATTATTATGTGACTGCTTTTCCATTTAAATTTAGATTGCATTTTCTTTCCGTTATTTGGGCCGGTAAACATGCTGCAGTTGAGAAGAGTCTAACCGTCGTGTGGTGACGTGGTGCTTTTAAATGCCGAGGAAATGAACATTTTAAATAGAAATGATCGTATAAATTTAATGAAATAACCGTGTAAATATAAGGAAGTACCTAATCATTTACATCCAAGGAAATAACCGTGTAAACCGAAGGAAGTAATTATGTGAATCTGAAACAATATACGTGTGAAATTATTCATATATTGATATATATGAATATACGTTCCTTAATATAATATATTAAGGAAAGTGTGAAATTATGGAACTGTATATGTGAATATCTGTAAATAATCGTGTACGCTGAAATACATTTGTGAATCTTGAAGAAATTTATCATAGGAAGTGAAATAAACGTACGATTCTCTAGAAATGATAATTCATAAGTGAAAGTGAAAGACGAATTGCGTGTTTCTCATGTATAACATTAGACATGAACTAGAACTTCCAACGTTAGAACTTCCAACGTTAATCACGGTAGTTTTAGTTAATTTTAGTTCAATTCACTCTTACTACGTTTCATGTTTTACAGATAAAAGAAGACATAAATGTAGATTAAACCATTTTATATCGAGGTGTTGGGCATGCAGCTAGTCGTTACTACATGTCTATATATTTATCTTCTCGTTACAAACATCTTCCTCATTTGCTGGTATAAAATGATCGAAGAGTCGCCAGTATTTACTGTCTTTGGTCAATATTTACTCTCTTTGTCCAAAATTTACTGTTTTTGACCAATATTTACTGTCTTTGGTCAATATTTACTCTCTTTGTTAATATTTACTGTTTTTGACCAATATTTACCGTCCTTGTCCAATATTTACTGTCCTTGTCCAATATTTACTGTCCTTGTCCAATATTTACTGTCTTTGGCCAATATTTACTGTTTTTTGACCAATATTTACCGTCCTTTTCCAATAGCTACTGTCTTTGGCCAATATTTACTGTCTGTGGTCAATATTTACTGTTTTTTGACCAATATTTTCTGTCCTTTTCCAATAGCTATTGTCTTTGTCCAACATTTACTGTCTTTGGTCAATATTCACTGCCTTACCTTCATGCTATAATATTCCACGCAGTATTTCGTTATTCCGTCAATTATTTATTAATTGTTATGCTAGTTGCTTCATGTTAATATATTGATAATATCTCAACTGCGTTGCAAAGAGTTCATAATAAATATGCATTACGGTGAACTGGTAAGACTTAAGTTTTAAGATCGCGTTAGCTTCGGAAGCGAAGTACCCTATATGGATATGATCTCAAGCTCCAGGTTGTGTTGAATATGTTTTTCAACGACAATTGAGCTTAATACTATTTTTATCAACAATATAGTGAAACTTAACCCGCAACCAGGCACCTGACTGCGAAATAACGTTTATTGAACGTTTTTTAATGAAATTTACACGGAATCAAAATTTTTTCTACGTCATTTGCCTGGAAGGCCTTTAGTGCTTTAGAATATTATAGTTATTCTTCACTTGCTAACTGTAAGAAAACGCCAAGTTTAATTCCGTCCATATGCGAAAAAGTATAACAACAAATCATAATAATAACTGTAAATGTACATAAATAAGTCAGCCTTATGGAGAGTTTACACCACATGGTCTTTCATCTGTACGCCTGCTTAGAGATGCGTCATACGCTGGTATATAACAAGCTTAACAAGTTCCTTTTTTGATATATTAGGGCAGTTATTTATATACTAGTGCAGGTATTAATATTTTAATATGGTTATTAATATATTACCTACTACAGTTATTAAGATAAACGTGTCCTCGTTCACTTCGAAAATTTTCTTCACTATACATAATGTTAAAAAAAATATAACTCAGTACTCACTGCAGTGAGTGACAGAGAGCGCATTTTCTCGTCGACGAAAACGTGAAATCACGGACAGACGGACAGACAGACGGACGGACATGGCGAGCACAATAGCGCTTTTTTCCATAAATGAAAAAATGCGCTAAAAAGTAATCGACAACATCGCGTGCATGTTTGCTTGTGTACAAGCTCCTTTACTGAATTTAATTTTTATTCTCTGATCGGTGCAATTTATTACCAAATTTATAGCTTTTATTTTTGTTCATCATTTCATGGAAGAAACCATTGGTCATTGCAGTACAACCTTGGATGGTCACCACCAAGCGGATAGCATTAACTGCTCTCTATGTTGCGAGCACTATGTTGTCATTAATGACATACAACACTATGTTGTATGCTCTATGGTGACGTGCAGCTCTATGTTGCGAGCAGTAATTTGCATATTGTTACGAACCCACTAATCTATTCTCATTTCGGTCCTGACCAGTTACATCTCCAAAATATTTATCGCACATAATATGCGGTTCTTGAAATTAGGATAAAATTGTTTCATTCTTCTAAACCTGAAGGGTATCATTGATTAAAAATTTTTAACGGCTGTTGGCTCTTTTCTGTGCAATCGTTCTATAATGATTTATTGTAAAATTATTGAATATTTAGTGTATAATCTGGGTGTAACACAATTTTTCCTCGCCTGAGATTTTTGCGGTATGCAATCTAGAATATTGCCACTATAGCCATAATATCTCGCGAGAAATATTAAATTTTATCAAGTGATACCATTATGACCACAGATCGTGTAATGTATTCACTGGTTGCTCAAACGATTGTTAAGTCATTGTGATTGTCGCAGATTATTCATACCTTGCCGATTTCGACCATAATTTTCAGGGTTAGTTGGGAGTTTCGAACCCCCATCTCGCTGAGCGCTAATTTTGGTAATCTGTACTACTCGGCGAACACGAGCTTCTAAGATCAGTAAAGCTTGAACTCATTTTCAGTACCTAGCTTTCAATCTGGCAAGATCGATTGACCAGAAAATAAAATTATAAAAATAAATATAGTAAAATGTACAAAGCAGATGGAGAATAAAAAGCTCGAAATAAAATTGTATTCTCATTTTTCATATATTTCTCATTTAACTTTTACAACAATGTAGGCCGTTTCTCTAATGAGTGGACAAACGAGATAATGTACAATTTGTAATAAACTCAATTCAGGAATTAGTTACACGTTATTTAAGAACCACAATGTCAACATATGAATCACTGCGTGGTTCCTATTTTCATTGAATTCTAGGTAATGGTATTTGCTTCAATTGATGAGTGGTAGATCTTTATTCAAATTTTGCTAAGTAGCACCTGTAGTGAAGAGCTATGTGCATTGTGCCGCTCTTATCTTTTTCTGTGTTGACAATGGAAAATTTCTCATAAATTCTTAATCATTTCTTATTTCATCAATATATGTCTTTGTCTTCGCTTCACTTGAAACACATTAATAATAATAATAATGAACACATTAATGATAATTATAAACCAAGCCGTAAGACTGATTTGGTTTTTTTTGAAAAGTCTTCAATAAAAAATTGAACGATATTTTAAATTTTTTATTGAATAATTTTTTTACGATAAGTCGTTCAATAAAAAAATGAATTGAAATAAAAATCAGCCACTTTAAAATTTTACGAACTTAGAGCACTTAAAATGAATATTTTTTCCATTTTCTGTTCGTTTTGGCGATTTTTTGAGATTCTCTGCACGCCGATATAAAAATGAAATGCACCAAGCGAACAAGAGGACGTCGGATACCAACAAAATTATCAAACAACTACTGATAATGGGGGAAAATGTACAGAGCAAAATTATATTCTAAAGAAGTTCCTATTAAATTACTTATACTTACAGAAAACTTATTCTAGCATATTTAAAATTCTATATAATCGTCAACAGCAACATGAACATGTTTCACTCGACCCTCGTAAAATTCTTGTATGAATACGTGAATGTTAAGAAACAAATGTATGGCCAAAATAAATGAAGATAAATCCAGAGTTTCAGATAAAACGAGAGTTTCAGCTACCGATGAATGTACTCACATTTTATTCCGTAACTAAGGACATTAAAATTAAAATAGAATAGTAGTAGAAACGATGAAGAATGATTTACAAACCTAAGCGATAGCAGAGAATCAGGACGGTAACGAGTTCTCTTTACAATCGAACAGCACTTATGATCAATGAATCCAACGTCTTTTGATCTTCCTCACAAGCTAAAGCATTTCGAAAAACACAGTGGTGAACTGCTGTCTTTCTTTCAGAGATTTGATTGCTTAAATATCGAAAACGAAGCTAGTATATTTGATACTTGGTTTAAAATGAATAAAACTGGGCAAATTCATGGGATTTGTTCCTTGTATTGAATAAAAAAGGAACTTTTCTTAGAGATTGTTCATCAAATTACCAGAACCGAAGGTACAATATTAAAACGTAACCCGAAAAAAAATTAAAAGCTAAGCATTTGTATGGAAAATTTATCACTAAAAATCACAAACCCGAGCATATTATTGCAAACACGGTGAAAGATCTCGGGTTTGCCTCCATAGAGTTCGGATGAGCGAGAAAAAAGAATATTTTGTCCACAAAGTCCAGGAATAGCCATTGATCCTAGGAATAGTAGGTGGTCCTAGGAATAATAAGTAGACCCAATGATGTTAGTGGTCCTATACGTATAGTAGGCGGTCCTACGTATAGTAGACGGTCCTACGTATAGTAGACGGTCCTACGTATAGTAGGCGGTCCTACGTATAGTAGGCGGTCCTACGAATGATAAGAGGTTCTGGGGAAAGCAAGTGGTACTACGAATAGTAAATGGTCTCAAGGATAGCAAGTGGTATTAAGGATAGCAAGTGGTCCTAAGGATAGTAAGTGGTCCTAAGGATAGCAAGTGGTCCTACGAATAGTAGGTGGCCCTACGAATGATAGGAAATTTTAGGGAAAGCAAGTGGTCCTACGAATAGTAAATGGTCCTAAGTATAGCAAATGGTCCTGCGAATAACAAGTGGTCCTAAGAATAGTAGGTGAGCACGGACTGCTGGTTGCCTCTGACGAAGAGGAAGGGCGGCATGCCCTTGGTCATGTAGTCGAGCCACGCCATGTAGAGGGACGCCGACACCTGACCCTTGCGGGGCATTGGTAGCGTCCTGCCCAGCAAAGAAACGATGAAACCAAATTAAAACAAAATTAAAGTAAAATTAAAACATTAATCAATTTAATAAGCATAAAAATATTGTCGGCTCAGAAAATTAATTAGCTCAATATAATCACGTTTGTAAATTAATATGTGTAGCAAAATTCATAGGCATAGGAAAATAAGTAATCCTTGGAAATAAATTAACATTCAGATTGTGGTGGTTAGAGTTGGTTGTGGTTATTTTAGTGAATGTTGAGGGTTATTTTGCTTGGTGCTATTTTAGAAGGGCTGCTATGGTAGGTGCTAGTCGTAGGGTTGTTGTGGTTGGTGCTGGTTGCAGGTTTTCGCTTATAGTCCTAGTTGCAGGCTTGTTGCTTATGGTACTAGATGCAGGATTGTTGCTTCTAGTTCTGGTTGCAGGCTTTTTTGGTTGGTGCAAGTCTTTTGGTTCATGTGGTTAGCGTTGGTGGTAAGGGTTGTGGTGAGTGTGGCGTTGATTTTAGCGATGTAGTTCTAGTTGTAGTTGGTGTTGGTCATAGGGTTTTGTGGTTGGGTTTGGCTGTAGGGTGGAAAGTATAGTTTCCTCTAATCAGTGCCCAGTGGTAAACAATGATTAAATGGTGGTAGTAAGCAAACTGTTGAACGGTGGGTGCGGCTTTAATCTCAAAGTTTATAATTTAAACTGAAAACTGCATCAGTTGATTAGCTCAGTGTGCCTGGAAAGGGCGAGGCAGTTATGGCTGAGACAGAGGTCTCTTTAAGTTCACCTTTTTTCGTATTTTTTAGCCTTGAATAAAATAATGGAGTTCTCGACCAGCAGCTCGCGTAGTCTGATGTGTCTGTTCGTCTTCTCGCGCTGACTCATCAACTCAGTTTCCGTTAGCGTCATTCCTATAATTATTATTATAATTATTATCTTCCTTATTAATGGCATTATTATCACCATCTTTATTAGTAGTATTAATACTAGATCATTTGAAATACAAAGCAGAGTATTCAACCACCTAATATTCGAAACTATTAACAACCATCAACTACAATTTCCGGCTTAAATTTATTACTCAATACCAATACCAATGGTTGGAGGAGTAGATCATATAGAAAAATAATTATTTCAAGTATTTCTGGATATAAAATAAGTAATAGACTTGACAACATCGTATGATTTGAATAGCTAACAAACTTGACAAGATCGCATCATCCAAACCAACCACGTATCATCCAGAACGAACCGCCCATTATCGAAAACCAACCACCCATCATCCAAAATAAACCTGCCATCAATAAAAACCAATCAGCTAACATCGAAAGTCAGCCTTCCACCGTCCATAACCACCCACCGTCCCCGACATCCCCGTCGGTTTTGAACTTTTCAATGAGGGCTTCAAAGTCAGCCTTGGCTGCCTCCGAGGCTTTCTTCATGGCGTCAGGGATGACGATGACATCGCTGTAGTCTATCCTGAATTTGGACAATAGGCTCGCCATGCTGCGCTGCTCCATGTCGAGCTCGTCGCGGCGGTTGGCGAGGGTAAAGATGCGCATTTTGCAGCTGCTCCACTTGGATCGGGTGTTGACGATGTAGGGGATGAGCAGTGTTAGGCCGCCATCATCGTATAGCCACCACACATCGATGGTTCCCTGGAATCAAGGAAAAAGTTTTGAGGAAAACCTTGTGACGTTGGAGGTCTGAAAGTAGGATGAAAACTTTTCTCGATAATCGCCAAACGTCGGATGTGCACTGCAAGAAGTAAAGGTTTTTGAGGATAACCGCGACAGATTGATGGTACCCGGTCACCAATGCAACAATAATCGTTCAGGAAGCTCATTTGTCCAATGAAATATTATTGAAAACAGATCTAAAAATTTGGTATTTTCAGCATTTCTAGCAGTCACTTCACTTTTCTTCCCATTTCTTTCTACGTCCGGACTCAGCCCTACCCCGCCCACCTTCCTCTCCTACAGCCCCTCACTCATCTTCCTCTCCTACAGCCCCTCACTCCTCTTCCTCTCCTACGGTCCCTCACTCCTCTTCCTCTCCTATGGTCCCTCATTCCTCTTCCTCTCCTATGCGGTCCCTCACTCATCTCACTCTCTTACGGCCCCTCATTCCTCTGCCTCTCCTACGGTCCCTAACTCCCCTCCCTCTCTTATGGTCCCGCATTCCTCTACTTCTCCTACTATCAGTCACTCCTCTTGTTCTCCAAGGGCATCTCACTCCTCTTCCTCGCCTACCGCCCCTCACTCCTCTTCCTCTCCTACGGTCCCCGAATTCCTTCTCCTACGGCCCCTCACTCCTCTTCCTCTCTTACGGCCCCTCACTCCTCTTCCTCGCCTACGGCCTTACACTTTCTTTCCTCCCCTTCACCTTCCTCTGCTTCCTCTGGAAGAGCGTGATGTTATTGAGGGCGCTTTTGGTGAGTTTGGTGCCGCCCTTCCCGACGTACGCCGCCGTCATGGACCCTTTACGCTTCTTGGCGCCTCGGTCCCGTGCACCGTCGAGGCCCGAGACGTTCTGGGCCCGGTCGATGTCGGGGGTGGCGGGGGGCGAGGACGTCTCGCTCTCATGCCCGTCTGGAAATTAACGCCGTACGAAAATATGATCAAAATGAGATAATATCACCATTTATTTAAGTGGGTTTGGAATGAGATACGCGTAGTAAAAGGAGACATATTGATTGGTTAAAACAATAATAATATACATTTGAATATATATACTGATATACATATAATCTATGGCTATATAATTACTATATAATTTCTATATATAACCCAAAATGCAATGTCCGCGCAATAACTATTGGGATGTTATGTCTATTCTGACACTGGAACTGAAATGTGGGTCCCAAAGAGGGCACTTGTACTCAACGGATGAATAGTATCGAACGAAAACCAACCCAAATAGGAGCCTTAGTTTTAGTCTTTTAGAAAAATGTATTCCCAAGCTTTCAATAGAGAAAAATATTAACAGTGCCAAAACAAAAATTAGACTAGCAGAACTAACATTGGACTTGCAGAACTAACGTTGCACTTGCAGAACTAACATTGGACTAGCAGAACTAACATTAGACTAGCAGAACTAACTTTGGACTAGCAGAACTAACATTAGACTGGCAGAACTAACATTGCACTAGCAGAACTAAGATTGGACTAGCAGAACTAAGATTGGACTAGCAGAACCAACATAAACCTAGCACAACTTAGTTTGGACTAGCAGAACTTACATTACACTAGCAGAACTAACATTACACTAGCAGAACAAACATTACATGTGTGATGAACTGCATCACTATATGTGGCCTCAACTTAAAATGAATAACTTCCGTACATTTGAGCTCCAGGAAGGCTGGTCTAACTGAGGTTCAAGGTTGCACTATTCTATTAAGCATCTTAGTGTAGAGGTCGTATTTCAATTATGATATTTCTGGTGACATTTTAGGCTAAATCAAAATCTTGTGTGGTCATAATAGGTGTTGTAGACATTCGATTACACGCAAGTTTTCAGTAGATTAATTAGAATTTCCAGTAATTTATTTGTCAGGTGGCCGGGAAACAGATTCTACTAATCCTAATTATTGTCATGGTCTAGACTCTAGACGAGGAGACGTGTAGGGCTACATACTGCAAAGTGTTGAAGTAGGAGATGACCTCGTCCTTGTCGCACGTCTTCCAGTCGCTCTTAAAGCCAAGCAGAGCCATGTTGGGACGAAGTTTGCCGAGCCCCGACAACTTCAGAGGAAAAAGTTCAGTGAGAAATCTACTTATATAGATGCTGGCTTGAAACTAAGTAGAGAGCAGTAAGCTCAGTGAGCAAATTTATTACTGAGACGACGCATGAAACTTGCTAGCGAGCAATAAGTTCAGTGAGCAAAATAATAACTGACGAAACAACTGAGAAATTTTTAAAGTAATTGGTGACTTAGAAGTTCGGTGATGACTGAGGAAACTACTAAGACGAGGTATTTAGCTTCATTGCATGAAGCATGAGGCACAAAAGTTTCATATGTTCATTATCGGTCCTAGCTGATGCTCCGGTATCCATTTGATAAAGGAAAGAACTCCGGGAGTGTATCCCCGGTACCAGACAACCAAATTGCACTCTTAAGTATATGTTCAAGTGAAGTAATTTTACCAAAATAACTTTAGCGAATCCATTGATACAAATTTAGTGAATATTGCATGAAGCCACGCAATGCATGCTTTAGAAGCCGGTAAAGGCCTATACATGTGCACTACTGCATGGCGAGACCCACCTGGAAGAAGTTGACCGCCCCGGTCTCGAGGTCTTTGGCCTCCACGACGCTAAAGAAACCGCGGATCTTGTACTTGAGAAGCCAGGCTGTGCCGCGCGTCATCAGGGAATGTCTCTTCTTCCAATCGATGTTCTGGAATCAAGAGGCAACAAAAAGTATTTATCAAATATATTTAGTAATACGTAAATAAAAATTACACTTCACAGGAAGGTTGACAGTCTCATGCCGTCTCACAATAGTATACTGCTGTGCGACGTATAAAATATCTACAATACAAGATAATATTCTGGCGTTTCGTACCGCTCATCTATAATAAGTCAGCTTTACCACCGGATGGTCTTGAACCTGTAAAACAACTTTACACCACCATCTGCACCACACGACCATTCAGCATCGCCGCACGTGCGACATCACCACCCGCCAGTCTCGCACCTAACCGACATCACCACCCACCACTCTTTCACCTTACCGATATCACCACCCTTCAGCCTCGCACCTAACTGACATCACCACCCACCAGTCTTTCATCTGACCGACATCACCACCCACCAGTCTTTCATCTGACCGACATCACCACCCGCCAGTCTCTCACCTTACCGACATTACCACCCACCAGTCTTTCACCTTACCGACATCACCACCCACCGGTCATCTCACCTGACCGACATGACCACACAGGAGCAAGGAGATATTCTTGGTGATGACGTTGCCAAAGTCCACCAGGGATGGTCGGGTGCTGGGAGGTCCCGAGAGGACAAGGATCTGAGGGCGGAAGTTCTTGATGTGGTCTTCCACCGTCTGCAGCTCCAGGGTGTTCTTCAGCGCCGTGGAGTAGGTGGCAGCTTGAGCGCTCGAGCCCCAGTTCACGTCTGGCCATATTTAGAAGATCAATTTAATTTTCTTGCTTACTTTCGCTGTAATCTATCTGGTCAAATCTATTTATCATTCAATTTGTCGAGATATTTACAATAAATTAACCTATTCCAAACTTGAGTATAAGTCTGACTGAAGGTTAAGAAACATAAATCCAGTTTTTAACCTTGCAAAACAGTTGAAGAGCAAGAACACATATCCGGATGATGTTAAAACTAAATTAAAGAGCAATGATTTGGCTCTCAATGTATAGTCAGTCATTCACAAGGCTTTTTGAAGGAGACGACTTAATGATGGCGCTAAGCTAATGATGGCGCTAAGCTAATGATGGCGTTAAGATAATGATGGTGCTAAGCTAATGATGGCGCCAAGATAATGATGGCGCTAAGATAATGATGGCGCTGAGATAATGATGGCGCTAAGGTAATGATGGCGCAAATATAATGATGGCGTTACGGTAATGATAGCGCCACGATAGTGATGGCGTCAAGACGATAGTGCCCATTAATCAATGCATCAGAATTGATTGTACATTAGCTATTATGAGGTGTGGCGGCAGGACTAGCAAGGAACACACCTTGAAGGCCGGTCTCCAGCCAGGGCTCTTGATGAGCGACGCGTGGAAGCAGGAAAAGTTGATAAGGCTGTAGGACGCCAGGAAGAAGTTACTGAGAAGCGTTGACACCGCGTTCAGCTCGCCTGCAAAAATTTTGGGGTTATTAAGAAGAGTATGGGGTTTTTGGGTAGTGTGGGGTTATATTTGTGGGAGTGTGGAGTGTTATTGGTGAGAGTTCGGAGGTTTTTGGTAGTGTAAAGGGTTGTTGGTGGGAGCGTTGGAGTTCTAGCGTGACCAAAAACCAAGACGTCATTCGAAATCCAGCTGGAAAATGATTATTTCTATCATGATCCACGACGGTTCACGATATCGTGAATCGATGTCCAGTCCATGTCCAATGGTGAACGATACCATGATCCAGTCCACGATTGGTCATGGTAGCGAATTATTAGATGACTCGTGTTAATTGAGTATAGAGTTTAAGAATCGGATCACTAGACAACATTATTAAATGCGAATAGAGAATAGAGCAATGCGTACACACACCCGAAAGAGTAAAAATTGCCGCGTCAATTTCACGAGAACCATAGGCTCACCGATCATGATGCACCCGAGAGCAATGATGAAGACCAGGATGTAGCCGTTGACAGGGTCGTTGCTGGGGCCGTAGCCGCAGCTGAAGGTATGGATGCCGGGGTAGAGTCTGTCCTTGGCGAGGGCCTGCAGCACGCGGGGGGCGCCCACCAAAGAAGCCACGGCGGAGGACAGCGTAGCCGCGAAGCAGCCTGCGTAGATCAACGGACCCCAGACCGACACCAGCTCCATAACCTGGTGAGGGAATGGTACCGAATAAACTTGATCATTCGACATCATATTTTCAATGATAAAAATTACGTTACGTAATTGTTACGTCATTTTACGTTCCGAGTTTTCCATAGAGTATTGATCATTCCCTGGTCTCGTTCATTCATGTATTCGACACGAGGTGGAGATGATTGACAAGCACCGAAGCTACCGAATAAGCCTAATAGTGAGCAACCTAATTAGTCTGTAAATAACATTGCAACTATGGCGGAATAGTGCAATAATCGAGGCCAAAGAGTGACTTCACCAAGCAGTTGTTGTGGAGATCTAAGACATCGCTAACTCGCCTGGAAGTTGTTGAGGAGGCTCTATGACATCGCTAACTCGCCTGGAAGTTGTTGAGGAGGCTCTAAGACATCGCTAACTTGCCTGGAGGTTGTTGTGAAGGCCCTAAGACTTCGTCAAATCGCCTGGAGGTTGTTTTGAAAGCCCTAAGATATCGTCAAATCGCCCTGGAGGTTGTTGTGGAGGCTATAAGACATCGCTAACTAACCTGGAAGTTATTATGAAGGCCGTAAGCACAGCGTGTGAGATTGAGGGGATGCACGGCAGCGGGGCCGAGGTTCGAGCAAGTCTCCCCCGTGAAGGAAGGTGCGTCGAGGATGGACTTTTCACCATCTATGAATTCAGTGTCGTTGACAATGTAGTCCAGGAACTCTGTCACGTTGCCTGGGGGTAGCATTGCATGATTAATGTAAAAGAAGATGATGTCATTATTAAAATAATCAAATGCGCAAAAATAGCTGAAAAGAAGTAGGAAGAAGGGTCTAGGAAAATAGATGCAAGACTGAGGACATAGAAAGAAGTAAGCCAGTAAATGGAACATTAGAAAGAAGAAAGATTGAAAGTTATTGATTATATAGGAGGTAAAGAGTAAGGAAAAGACAATGGGTAGATGTAATTCGGAAATCTTTGATAAATGCGTTAGCGTCTTGCACCTTCCAGGCGACATAACCTCTCGAGACGTGTTATGTCTACCCGATATATATAGGTGCCATATCTATTCGAGGCATCCTATTTCTACCCAAGACGTTCAATATCCACTAGAAACGTACCATGACTACAAGGCGTTAGGCGTCCAATGTCTAATTGAGCTGATAAAATGTTTACCTGAGGCATCCCTGACCACAGTGGCCGCCAGCAAGAAGGGGTAGCCGATGTAGGTGAGGAAGGTGATGCCGATGGCGAGCAGCGTACCCTTGGGGATCGCTCCGCAGGGGTCCTAGGGATACAATGCAACGGGTCAAAACTGTAAGTACGATACCACACCATATCAAAATGAGACTACGCACCGTTAAACGATACTACACCTCGTCATACAACACCAAAGGGAGCCGAAAGAAAAAAAATTAGCAAGTATAATACATTTGGATTGCAACCCATTATATGACCCTCAATCCTTTACCACTCCACCCGTTGTAGGAACCAAACTACATTATCATAATCAAAGCCACCTGAGAACCACCTAGTTTCAAAAATTAGGTTTCCGTTGCAGGAACTGTGACCCCGGTATAAGGGAGGCACATCGCGTAACCGAAACAATGCTAGTTGATTTTAGTTAATTAAGTTCATTCTTTTTGATTAGGAAAAAATCACATTTCTTGACAGGGAACCCCTTGCAGTTGTCCCTAAACAATCTTGGTGATTATTTGGTGAGTTGTAGGATTATTGCATATTGCAACTAAAACCAATCTAAAACCGATTTAAATATTGGAACTAAAACCGATCAATTACTTGAAGTACATCAATAAAGGATTCGTACACCGTCATTGGGATAGCAAAGCGTTATTTGGACGACGCTTCTTACATGAATGGTTCCCCGTTATATAAATGACGCCCGTTATAGGAACCCACACACACCTTGAGGTCCCCAGAGAGGTTGGCGCCCGCCACAATGCCCGTCACGGCGGGGAAGAACACGGCGAACACAGAGAACAGGTTCTGATCTGAACCCTCGGCGTACCTGAAGTCATTGTAGAAATTCCGCGAGAACAGTTCACCTGAAACGAGAAGAACAGTGAGAAAAGTTCACATGAAATGAGAAGAATAGTGAGAATAGTTCACCTGAAACGAGAAGAATAGTGAGAACAGTTCTCTGCGATGAAGAAAATAGAGCAGTTCTCTTAGATGAGGGGAAACTTTTTAAAACAGTTAACATTACCGAGGGAATTAGGTAAGTGAACAGCCCTTGCCAATAAGGGTAATCTGAGGGAACACTACACGTGATCGTCTCACCGCTGAGGCCGACGAAGCCCTGTGCGCGTTCAGTATCGTCGAGGGGACCGACGAAGGCGCCGATGACGAAGTCAACCTGCGACCCGATGAGCAAGAAGAGCAGCCCGATCTGGACCTGCGGGGTGACGTGGAGGTGATGATGGAGGTGATAACGGGGGATAATAACTGAGCTGGTAATGGGGGTCATAACGGAAGATGAAAGCGCAGGTGACTATTATGTTGATAAAGATTGATGAAAAGGAAGGTTACAACGGGAGATAATAGTAAGGTTGACCACAAGAGATGACGATCTGATCCACTCACATTGGTGCCCAGTCCACTCACCCTGGTCACTCTGTCCACTCACCACGACCGCTCAGTCCAATCACCACGACCACTCAGTCCACTCACCACGACTACTCAGTCCACTCACCACGACCACTCAGTCCACTCACCCTGGTCACTCAGTCCACTCACACTGGTGCCAAGTCCACTCACCCTGATCATTCTGTCCACTCACCGCGCCCACTTAGTCCAGTCACCACGGCCATTAGTCCACTAACCACGGCCACTCAGTCCACTAACCACGGCCACTCAGTCCACTAACCCTGGAGACCCAGTCCACACACCCTGGTCACCCAGTCCACTCACCCTGGTGACACAGCCCACTCACCCTGGTGACACAGTCCACTCACCCTGGTGACCCAGTTCACTCAGCCTGGTGACCCAGTCCACTCACCGTTGTGACCCAGTCTACTCACTCTGGTCACACAGTCCACTCACCCTGGTGACCCAGTTCACTCACCCTGGTGACCCGGTCCACTCACCCTGGTGACCCGGTCCACTCACCCTGGTGACCCAGTCCACTCACCCTGGTGACCCAGTCCACTCACTCTGGTCACCCTCAAGGATAACAACAGGTCCTGAGATAACAAGGATAACAACATGTCCTGAGATAAAAAGGATAACAACAGGTCCTGAGATAACAAGGATAACAACAAGTCCTGAGATAACAAGGATAACAACAGGGTTCTGTGATAACAGGGATAACAACAGATCCTGAAATAACAAGGATAACAATGGGTGCTGTGATAACAAGGATAACAATGGGTTCTGTAATAACAAGGATAACAGCAGGTCCTGTGGTAACAAGGATAACAACAGGTCCTGTGACGACAATTATAACAACAGATCCTGTGATAACAGGGATAACGAGTCATGTGATAACAAGGATAACAAAATATTCTGTGATAACAAGGATAACAGCAGGTCCTATGATAATAAGGATAACAACATACCCTATGATGACAAGGATAACAACAGATGCTGTGATAACAAGGATAACAACAGGTCCTGTGATAATAAAGATAACAACGGGTCCTGCGATAACACGGATAACTACAGGTCATGTGATAAAGGATACCAAAGGGTCATGCGATAACAAGGAAAACAGCAGGTCTCATGATAACAAGGGTAACATTCGGCTTTGAAATAACATGAATAACAACAGATACTGAGATAACATGGATAACAACGGGCTCCGTGATAACGAGGATAACAACAGGTACAGTGATAGCAATGATAACAACTGTTCCCGTGATAACCAGGGTAATAACAGGTTCTATGATACCAAGGTTAACAACAGGTCCTGTGATAACAAGGATAACAACGGGTCCGTGATAACAAGGATAACAACGGGTCCGTGATAACAGTAAAACATAACAACTCGGGCTGTAATACCTGATTGTCACCCTGCACACATCTCACCACGACCAATGAACCATCCCTGCATTATACCGGATAATGATTGATCTACTTAAACCTTATATATCCCACATATTGACCACAAAATACGCTCCAAACTACATGCCGATCACCATGCATCCGACTCCCATTACATCATAATGCACGCTTCCCATAACATCATAATTGCTCAGCAAGCAACACACCACACAATCGCAACACACGCACCCAACTTCAACCAACCATACATGCCCTCCAACACACCATAATTCCATCACTTGCAACACATCACGCCATCGCAATACACACACTCTTCACTGCGCCATACATGCCCTCCAATACACTATAATTCCAATTCCATCACCTGCAACACATCACGCCATCGCAATACACACACACTTCACTGCGCCATACATGCCCTCCTCCAATACACCATAATTCCATCACCTGCAACACATAATACCATAATCACCCAACATGCTCTAAACAATAACCCACATCGCTGTGTTCACCTGCAAGCTGTTGACGAAGCCGATGATGTACGTGGACACGGCGATGGAGTTTGCCAGGGTGAACATGAGGCCGATGGAGCCACCGAACTCTGGCCCCAGCGACCGGGAGATCATGTAGTATACTCCACCTGAGGTGTTAGGTGGTGTGTAGGATGGAATAATGTATATTTAATGCCACCTTGCGTATTATATATGAAAATGTATTTTCACATATAATGCGTATAATATGTGCGTTTTTAATGCGTATTATATATGAAAACCAACTGAAATGTAAGAGGGTGTATACTGTACAGTGTGCTCTTTAAACCCTATTAAAATTGCTTTTATAAATCAAACAATATATTGCATGGCATAAATTTTTTAAGATGATGCATTTGGTGCCGAATTTGGTGGTACTTCAGGCTGGTGGTGTCAAAAGTCTAGCCTACAGCGTGTGATCGCCTGGGAAAGAGCCGTCCTCAGACCCCCGCGCGGATTAGATAACCTATCTAGTCCTTAGCAGCGCCTGATGGATGGTCCTCAAACTCACCGCCACGGATGAGCTAACCCATCTAGTCCTTAGCAATGCCTGATAAAGGGCGGTTCTCACACTCACCGCTCTGGATGAGATATCCTGTCTAGCCCTTAGCAGCGCCTGATAAAGGGCGGTACTCAGACTCACCGCCACGGATGAGCTAACCCGTCTGTCTAGTCCTTAGCAGCGCCTGATAAAAGGCGGTCCTCACACTCAACGCCATGGTTGAGGTTAACTCGTCTAATCCTTGGTAGGGTGTGAAAAAGGGCTGTCCTCAGACTCACCGCCACGGATGAGCTAACCCGTCTAGTCCTTAGCAGTGCCTGATAAAGGTCGGTACTCAGACTCACCGCCTTGGATGAGGCCGTTCGTAGCGACGGCCGACATGGAGAGCGCTGTGATGAACGTCACCAGGTTGGCCGAGCATACGATGATCAGTGTCAAGGCTATTATAGCGGGAAAATGTATTTTAATTCCAATTTTTACAGAAAATTATTAGTATTCTGTATTCAATATTATCGAATGCGCCTAATATTGGATCAATAATATCATAGGTGCCTAATATTGGATCAATATTATCGTTGGCTCCTAATATTGTATCAATATTTTCGTAGGCGCCTCTGATATTATCTTCTTATCTCTAATACCCTCTCCTTATCGTAGCCGCGTTATCTCTAATACCCTCTCGTTATCATAGGCGCGCTATCTCTAATACCCTCTTCAAATCGCAGGCGCGTTATAACTAATACCCTCCCCATATCGTAGGCGCGTTATCTCTAACACCATCCCCTTATCGTGGGCGTGTTATCTCTAATACCATCCCCTTATCGTAGGCGTGTTATCTCTAATACCCTCCCCTTATCGTACTCGCGTTCTCTCTAATACCCTCCCCTTATCGTATTCGCGTTATCTCTAATACCCTCCCCTTATCGTATTCGCGTTATATCTAATACCCTCCCCTTATCGTACTCGCGTTATCTCTAATAACCTCTCTTTATCGTATTCGCGTTATATCTAATACCCTCCCCTTATCGTATTCGCGTTATCTCTAATAACCTCTCTTTATCGTATTCGCGTTATATCTAATACCCTCCCCTTATCGTACTCGCGTTATCTCTAATAACCTCTCTTTATCGTATTCGCGTTATATCTAATACCCTCCCCTTATCGTATTCGCGTTATCTCTAAAACCCTCTCCTTATCGTATTCGCGTTACAGTATATCTAAAACCCTCCTCTTATCGTATTCGCGTTATCTCTAATACCCTCTCCTTATCTTAGGCGCCTTACATCTAATACTCTCCCCGTATCGTAGGCGCGTTATCTTCAATACCCTCTCATTTTCGTAGGCGCGTTATCTCTAATTACCCTCCCCATATCGTAGGCGTGTTATCTCTAATACCCTCCCTCTCCTTATCGTAGGCGTGTTATATCTAATGCCATCTCCTTATCGTAGGCGCTTCATATCGAATACCCTCCCCATATCGTAGGCGAGTTATCTCTAATACCCTCCCCTTATCGTAGGCGTGTTATCTCTAATACCCTCTCGTTATCGTAGGCGCGTTATCTCTAATACCCTCTCGTTATCGTAGGCGCGCTATCTCTAATACCCTCTCCTTATCGTAGGCGCGTTATCTCTAATACCCTCTCGTTATCGTAGGCGCGTTATCTCTAATACCCTCTCCTCATTGTAGGCGCGTTATCTCTAATAACTTCTCCTTATCGTAGGCGCGTTATCTCTAATAACTTCTCCTTGTCGTAGGCGCGTTATCTCTAATAACTTCCCCTTGTCGTAGGCGCGTTATATCTAATACCCTCTTTATCGTATTCGCGTTATCTCTAATACCCTCTCCTTAAGTTCACTACACTTACAGAGTCCAGCCTGTCCCACGACCCAGGAGATCCTCAGGAACAGCATCACGCCCCAGATGTTCAGCATGCACGGCATCTGCGGCCACAACACATCATTAACATTCAATATAATTGGTTAATATAGTTAAACTAATAGATTTGGTTGTTATAGTTAAACTATTAAATTTGGTTGCTATAGTTAAACTAATAGATTTGGTTGTTATAGTTAAACTATTAAATTTGGTTGCTATAGTTAAACTAATAGATTTGGTTGTTATAGTTAAACTAATAGATTTGGTTGTTATAGTTAAACTAACTTGCTCCGCTTTATTGTGGTTTACTGCTGAATTTGCTCAATAGATTCACGTGACGGGAAAATAGAAGTGAAATTTGCTTTTAACTGAATATTGCTTTTAACTGGGGACAGCTTTTACCAGACACAAGCGTCTAACTGACAGGCACCTAACTGACAGGCACCTAACTGACAGGTACCTAACTGACAGGTACCTAACTGACAGGCACCTAACTGACATACCCACTTTACTCATTACCCACTTTACTCATTACCCACTTTACTCATGACTCACTTTACTCATGACCCACTTTACTCATGACCCACTTTACTCATGACCCACTTTACTCATGACCCACTTTACTCATGACTCACCTTTACTCATGACACACTTTTACTCATGACCCACTTTACTCATGACCCACTTTCTTCATGACCCACTTTACTCATGACCCACTTTACTCATGACCCACTTTACTCATGACCCACTTTACTCATGACCCACTTTACTCATGACCCACCTTTACTCACGACCCACTTCACTCATGACTCACCAGGACGCCTTTCATCCATCCCAGCTTGACTTTGCCGGTGGGCTCCTTGTCGAGCGCCTCCTCTGCACCGTGGGGCGTGGCCTGGGGACAACACAGAGATAAGGATAACAATCTGAGGATAACAGAGATATAACGGCAGTAACACAGCGATAACAATGTGATGAGAACACAGAGATATAATGGTTGTAACACAGCGATAACAATGTGATGAGAACACAGCGATAAAAATATGATGACAGCGATAAAAATATGATGAGAGCGATAAAAATTTGAAGACAGCGATAACAATGTGATGAGAACGCAATGATAAAACGGCCATAACACAGCAATAATAATGTGATGAAAGCACAGTGATAACAATGTGATGAGAACACAGTGATAACAATGCGATGAGAACACAGACATAGCAATGTGACGAGAAAAATGTGATAACAATGTGATGAGAACACGGTGATAACAATGTGATGAGAAAACAGTGATAACAATGTGATGAGAACACGGTGGTAATAATGTGATAACACAGAGATAACAATGCGATGAGAACACAGCGATAACAATGTGATGCTAACAAAGCGATAACAACTTGATGGTAATAAGATATAAGAGCAATAACAATGTATGATAACAGCGATATCACTGCGATGATATCAGAGTGATAACACAGTCATGATAACAGAGCAATAACGCTGCGCTGATAAAGAGATTGCAATGAGATAACAAAAGAAATAAGGAAAAGTAAAATAATTGGACGATGATAACAATTATTATTTTATAATGAACAATTGTTGAATAGGGAAGAGAGATTTATGATAACAAAGATGATGACAGGGCATCGTTAAAAAGTGAATGCCAACAATGATGAAAAGATAACAGGAAGACGATGGCCAATAACTTATAAGCAAATGATAGCGGAATATGGATAGCGCGATAACAGGCAACAGAGTAATGATAACAGGACGGCGAAAACACAAACATAAATGATCATGTAAAAATACAGTAACATATAAATAAAAATAAGTACAAGCAATAATTCGGGTAGTATAAATGCAAAGTTTGCAATAGTGATATTGAGATTATCGTCGATATCTGCGCTTATGTTAGTCGCAGTCAGATAAAAATTAAGGAAATGATTACGAAATTCATGGCAATGGCGCAAGATATACAGAAATTGACTGAAATTTCACAATCAATACAACAGGTGGCGGTGAATCAGACGCTCGGAATGTCAACGTCGCGACGATCGCAAGAACGAACAATACGCTAGAACACTGCGCTAGAATGCTGGGCTAGAACATTGCACTAGAAAACTGCGCTAGAAAACTGCGCTAGAAAACTGCGTTAGAAAACAGCGGTAGAAAGTAACGCTAGAAAACAGCGCTAGAACACTGCGCTAGAATTCTAGGCTAGAGAACTGCGCTAGAAAACAGCGGTAGAAAGTAACGCTAGAAAACAGCGCTAGAATGCTGCGCTGGAATGCTGGGCTAAGAGATTGCGCTAAAAAACTGCGGTAGAAAGTAACGCTACAAAACAGCGCTAGAACACTGCGCTAGAATGCTGGGCTAGAAAACTGCGCTAGAAAACTGCGGTAGAAAGTAACGCTAGAAAACAGCGCTAGAACACTGCGCTAGAATGCTGGGCTAGAGAACTGCGCTAGAAAACTGCGCTAGAAAACAGCGGTAGAAAGTAACGCTAGAAAACAGTGCTAGAACACTGCGCTAGAATGCTAGGCTAGAGAACTGCGCTCGAAAACTGCGCTAGAAAACAGCGGCAGAAAGTAACGCTAGAAAATAGCGCTGGAAAATAGCACTGGAAAACAGCGCTAGAAAACTGCGCTCGAAAACTGCGCTCGAAAACTGCGCTAGAACCCTGCGCTAGCAAACTGCACTAGAACACTGCGCTTGAACACTACGTTAGAACACTGTGCTAGAAAACAGGGCTAGAACAGTGCGCTAAAAAACGGCGGTAGAAACGCTCGAAAACTGCGCTAGAAAACTACGCTAGAACATTGCGCTAGAACACTGCGATAGGAAACTGCGCTGGAACACTGCGCCAGAACAATGCTCTAGAAAAACTGCGCTTGAAAACTGCGCTAGAAAACTGCGCTAGATTACTGCACTAGAACACTGCAGTAGAACAATGCACTAGAACACTGCAGTAAACCATGCACTAGAACACTGCAGTAAAGCGACTCACTAGAACACTGCAGTAAAGCGACTCACTAGAACACTGCAGTAGAACAATTCACTAGAACACTGTAGTAAACAATGCACTAGAACACTACAGTAAACAATGCACTAGACTGACTAGAGCATTGCAGTAAAGCAATGTACTAGAACACTGCAGTACAACAATACACTAGAACACTGAAGTAAACAATACGCTAGAACACTGCAGTACAACAATGCACTAGAACACTGCAGTAAACAATGCACTAGAACACTACAGTAAACAATGCACTAGACTGACTAGAGCATTGCAGTAAAGCAATGTACTAGAACACTGCAGTAGAACACTGCCTCAGACCCCGCCCAATGACACTGCCATGGTGCACTTCACTAGAGGTTCGTCCTAGATCATTAATTTTACTTAATCACGTATCTAAACTTGGTTTCGATGTGAAATCGTAGAACTAACGTTTCTAATTAATTTACAGTTTTGTATCTAGTTAATCTAATTCTGTTTGTTTGTTGTTTAGCCCAACTGCTAATAGCACATTCTTATGGTTGCATCACTGATCTAGGAATTGCATATATATCATATTACATACCGGAGTATTTAGGGATTAAACAATGAAAAAAAGTTCATTATCACTTTCAGGATACCGTGAGCGTATACATAAATGATTCCCGCTATATTGGACGAGATCGTTACTCCTATTGGAGATCAAATATATGGTTTTATTTGCTCGCACTTATCCTATATCAAGAGCTATTGACATCTTGTGTGCATATAAAAGGGACTTATTAAATATTTATGCACCATGTGAGTGTTTCTTGATACGAGATAGGATACGATCCTGTATCCTATTGCAGATCATGTTAATGGGTTTGTTCGCTTGCACTTGTCCTATATCAAGAGCTATTGAAGTTTTGTGTGAATATAAAAGGGACTTGTTAAATATTCATGCATGATGTCAGTGTTTCTGGATACGAGATAGGATACTATCCCGTATCCTATTAAACAATTGTAGATCATGTAGATCACGTATATGGTTTTGTTTGCTTGCACTTATCCCGGATCCAAAGGTACTGACATCATGCATGCATATGAAGGAACATGTTATCATATTTTCTAGAGCAGCACAACTGAGGGTAATGTAAATCCCAGGCGGATTAACGGTGGCCAATGCATAGTCTGAAGAATACCAATACTGTTTTTTTTCGTATATAGGAAACACTCGTAGGTGAGTCAGGAATAACTTTTAAAAAATCGTACTTATTCTAAATGACATTTTTCCTTAAAATTAAAATAAATAAAAAATATGCTTCTCCGTACGGTAGGCAAACAATACAGGCTATTATCGGGGCTGAGGAGTTTGTAGGGCTATCGGGAGATATGATGGCCATAAAGAAGCGTATTTAAGAAACTAATGTTTCCACAATTGTACAGTAAAAGTATAAACCGGTTATAATCCTAGCAGAGTGGATGGAGATTACGCGAAACTAGAGTATCTGATCTACATTACCATATGCATGGACAGGGTACGTAAATATTGTATAATATATTGTATTTTGAACAATAAATCGTAGCCATTATGCAGCCAACGGACACTTAATTTAATAACGAGACTTTACTTTACTCTTTCTTATTAATTATCAGAATTAAACATCAGTAAACAATTCCGACACATCGATTGCGTAATTCACGACGATTTACCGGAAGCAAATCGTTACCGAAAATAGCGAAGGTAAATAAAACTCAATCTCACGTAGGAAAATGCATGGACTTAACCTATAATCTAAAACAAATGAAGACGCTAAGTAAATCCACATCATAACCGAAAATGTTCCGAAGAGCAGCTTCAAAAATGTATAAAAGAATACAAATACAATCGGCAGAGAGAAGCAAAATTTGCATGAAAACCTACATACAGAATAAGCGAGGCAAATTTTTTTTTGCTTTTAAATTTGCGGCTAAGCTGCGATTTGACAAAACTAATGGTGAAGAACTTAAATTTTAAACCTATACAAGTACTAAATATTAAATCTCTATAACGAGGAATACAACACAAATTAATCCTAACAGTCCTGTAAATTGAACATGTATAACTAATTATATAGGTATTCTAATTAAAACCCATCACATATTTCAGAGCGTTTGTATTTTTTAAACTTGCATCGGTATCTTGGATACGTTGTCGCATATTACCTTCTCTTCTAAGAATTTGTTCAACGAGCAACTTTGTTTAAAAAGCAATGCTGTTTTATTCTTGCGTGGGTCACACTGACTCGGTTTGGCCTTACGAAAATAGCCCATCAGTGCTATATATGTCCGTTTTTTTTCCGTAATGGGGATAAGAAAGTGTCATTATTTGCACAATGTGACCCATTATATTTCTGTGTGGACTCTCCAGCCGCTGAAGTGTTCTTTGTGGAGATGTAGCCCACATTTGGACAAAGAACGCGTACAGTGTTCTTGCGTTCCATTTTCTTAGTGGGTAAATGTCGGAATTGGTCAAAGAAAACAACTTGTTCGCTTCCGTTTATGTACGAAAAAAACGTCCATGTCTTTGCTAAGTACAAGTAAACTCTAAGAAAAGTTGAAGAGAATGCTTCTATAGTTGCTTTTATACGAAAAGCCAAGAAGTATTTACGAACAGCTGCATAACATATGGAAAAATTGTTGATAATTCGTCTGAAACTGCTTATTTCCGTAAAACCATGAAGTATTTACGAGGAACAAAGGAATACTGAGAAAAATAGACGAACAAAGGAATACTGAGAAAAATAGACGAGTCCACAGTGCATAGACAGAGAGAAGTGCAAGGCCGGAGAGAGAGGCTGCGAAATGTCAAGCCTGAGGCTTGTTCTCCACAACAACCTGCCTGGCTTTATTGACTGACTCGTATCGACTGAACTATA